AACTAGATGTGCCTGTATAAATATTGACTTAGATAAATAAAAAAATAAAATAACAGACTAAATTTCTTCAATTTAATTTCAGTTTGCTGCAAAGAATATGGAACGAAATGCAAAGAAATGTGAAAAGGAAGAGAAAACAGAGAAACTCAAACTAAAAAAGGTGAAAATCTAATTCTGTCAATTTTTTAATTAAATTCCTTCCCTGCAAATTATTAATTCTTTATATCACTTGTTTTTGCTTCTTGAACCGTGTCACATTGTTACCGACTTGTTCATGTTTATGCCATTTATAATACAGGGATGGATAGGTGGTATCATCCAAATGCCTACCGTTGTAGTCTACATGTACTTAGAGAGCCGGGTCAACTACAACGGGTTTTGAGATCATTGGGACAGGGATAGATATAGGAAATTGAGYAATAGGACCTAAAATATGGACTCAAATAACATTTCATAGAAAGAGATTTATAAGTCACCCCACTACAGGGCTAAAGATAATGGCTATTCAGTCACAGGTCATGATGACCAACCAAATTAGCTAGGTCACCCCTTTAATTCTGGCTTGATGTTTACTGGTAAAAGTGACTGGATTTGACTGGACAAGATCCAATTCTGGCCAGACATTGTCTGATGACTGGCCTTTTTTTAGCCCTGCTCTACAAAAAATTYCTGACTCCACCAAAGGTTGTGTTCTCCCCTTACTTGTACCCTGGAGTACAGTATATTGCACTCGACAACAAGCCTGTATGATGCTTATAACAATATATGTCACTTTAGGCTATACAAAAAGGAAATTTGGAAGGRGCCAGAATCCATGCTGAAAATGCAATCAGACAAAAGAATCAGGTACAARACCTTTTATATCTTTATTTATGTAATAAGTTCTAACAACAGCTAGATTTAARAGTGTACTGAAATGTGTACCTTGCTATAATCACAACAGTTTACCATTATCCCAAACGAGTCAAGATTCATTCATTTTGGCTACTTAAAATTTTCAAATGACTTGTGCCTATATGTCCTGGAAACGCCTTGATTGACAGGAGATTCATCTAAAACCTACTTGGTTGTGACAGAAAATTCTATTTCACAAATTATACATGTATGTTATTTGGAAAGTTGACTTGCTCTACTTGCAGGAAAAAAATGCAAAATTCTTTCAAATTTTAGCTGGAATATTTATCTACTAAATGATAATTTTTACCAACAATATGCCTACATTAAATACTTCTCAATTTCCTAACATCTTTCAGAGTTTAAATTTCATGAGAATGAGTTCACGTATTGATGCTACTGCGCAGCGGGTCCAGGGTGCAGTCACGATGAAACARGTCACTGGGTCCATGGCTGGTGTCGTCAAGTCCATGGATGCAGCTCTTAGATCTATGAACCTTGAAAAAGTAAGTNATGGCTGGTGTCGTCAAGTCCATGGATGCAGCTCTTAGATCTATGAACCTTGAAAAAGTAAGTCTTAGACTGAGTTAAAGATGGATTTGTGTTTATAGGCTGGTCATTGTTTATCTCTGTGGAGGCTTGGAGTAGTTTTTATCCTGACATCAAACGGATTGACTTATCCCTCTCAAAAGACACTATCATTTTTATGGCCCCTCAATGATGCATGGTTACTTAACTCTCATCTCTGTGTCATCCCCTTTTGATACCTTTTAAGAGGAAAATTTTTTCAATAATGAGCAACAATGGCAAAAAGCACCAAAAATTAGACTTTTGTATGAGTTTTGATCCCAATTTTCGTATTTTGGGTTAACACTCAAAACCTTTCATAAACAGTTAGAAACTGATGTACTATGATAAAATGCCTGTTTGAAGCGGTATTTTCAATTGCACAAAGATGTTTTGTTGCATTTGTGTTAGAATGTACAATAGCTTTGTCAGGCTTTTTTATAGAAAATGTATGGGGAAAAAGCAAATTGAAACCTCATAAATTTTTTGCTTTTGGTTAACACTTTGATTCCACTTTCATCAGTCATCTCCACTTCCAAACAAGTTAAACTTTCTGAATAACAAGATTTTAGCCTTGTACAACAGCCTTTCTTCAAGAAAATAGTTTTTGGTGCTCACTGCTTAAATACAAAAAGAATTCTATCTTAACGTAGCTCATCCTACTCCAGTTGCCTAAAAACATGTGATGCCCCAGACAATAAAGTAATGATGGCCAGTCCATACCCTTAAAGTGACATGAGGTTGCCATTCCCAAAATACAGTGTAAAACCTGCTTAAAAGAACGAGTGGATTAAGAACCAGGATGCTGGAATTTAGCCAACAAAGCATCTAATATGATACAAGAACCACTTCAGCCTGAAAAAAGAGACAGGCTCTCATGTGTAAAGTAAAAAGCTTTAATGTAAAAGTCAGTCTCGTTTGAGATTGATAAACATTAGAAATTTTAGATGACAAATATACAAGTTTTAGGGGCCAGTTAGAACATGTTTTGATGTCTGGTGTTCCTGCCTACATGTATAATGCAAACAATGGAATTAAAAAGTGTGAGGYTCTAAATAACATTGGGATTTAGCGCATGTTTTGTAGAGGATGGAAAATAGGACCCAGGGAAGAACCATAAAATTAACAAACTTTGCTCACATTTCATATATGAAATATATTATCTTTCTCAGAGTCGATTTTAATTCATATTTTGGCTCAAAATTTATTGATATTTATTCATTGATATGTTTAGGTTTCAGCACTCATGGAAAAATTYGAGAAGCAGTTTGAGGATCTTGATGTACAGTCTGCAGCGATGGATAATGCRATGAGTAGCACTACCACCCTTACAAGTCCACAGGTGACATCACCTTTTATAAAATATAAATTTGAAATATAACATGTGCCGTGAKACCATGTTTATATCAGAGAACAGAGACATGCTCGCAGAAAATCGTTCAAAATATTTGATAAAAGCAATATAAAACAGCTGCTTATGTATCTGTACTGTGATAAAGCAGTAAGGCACTCAAAAAGCAAGAAAAACACTTGGCTACACCTTGTGCTTCTAAGGTTGCTTCACTCTTGCTCTGCAACTACCAGCATGTTTACATCACAATACAGAGGCATGTGTGCACATTAACACTTTCATTACTAGAGCAGCCAAAAGCGGCCAGCAGAAAGATGTTTTTGCTTTTCAATTACGCGTACCCTAGGACATTTCTTTGTGTTGAAACACATGGGCTAGAGCTACAGCGTATCGTTTTTTTGGATCATTAAGCAATATTTACTGAGCATGTATGTTTTTCATTTTGATATTGAGAAATAAAAAAACACCCTAATTATGTTCCAGGAAGAGCCTGTGTTGTACCCTTCTAGTCTCTAGTAGTGAAAGGGTTAACTTTATATTCCTAATAAACATGTATTAATATTGCATGCTGAATACAATGTTACAAAATAAACAGGCATCCAAACCTTCAATTGGTTTTATTGAAAAKATAAGACAGTATACTGATGCAGACRTGTGTTTTTTCTCTATAGGGTCAAGTTGATAGTCTAATGATGCAAGTTGCAGATGAAGCTGGGTGAGTAAGATTATGAAACCAAATTTGACCATAATTACAGTGCGATGTACCATATTTTACCATATTTACAGTGCGATGTACCACATTTTACCATACCCTTAAAAATATTTCATACTCTTTGCAACAAAAACTTAAATAAATGGTTAGGAATTTGCCTAGGTGATACCTATTTTGTTCCCTTTGCTGGCTAACACTGAATACTTTCATAAAAAGTATTTTTATTGATGGAATCACTTGGAGTGAGAAAGGATTCAATGGCATTTAAGTTGGGTGGCCATGTTTAGGGATGTCGCACTGTAAACATAAATTTACTATAGGTCTTTTTCCATAGCCAGGACCTTTGTTCRTTATTGACATTATGTGTGTCTGGCCTTTTGTGAATGCTTTATTTTCATAAGCTTTATATTATTATATGTGTTATATACAGTGTTATATTTCATATACAGACTTGAGCTGAATATGGAACTACCAGCCAGCCAACAGCAAGGAATTGGAACAGCATCTACAGCTTCAGCTGAACAGGTTAGCAGTGAGGTGTTCAAAACATGCTTAGAATACATTGTCTGCTAGTCAGGCATGGCGAAACAGTTTTTAAAGTGCAGGGGAGAAAGGTTACATTCCTCCCCTTCCCTTTCTATCCCACCCACCCACCCCACCCCTCCCTTAAAATAATTCATTAATGAGCAAGTTGCAAGCAGTATCCACTGGGAGGGGTCTTAGGTGCCTTCAATGGCAATCCTGCATGTGGCTGTTAATGCAATCCTTGAGGATCTAAYATCAAAATGGGGCTATTTGAACAGATTGTAATGACATTTGACATTATTGCTCTTTTTCTTTCGAATTAAATTTTATCAAGATGCTGACTTTTTCCCCCTTTGATTCTTGTTTTAAAGGACGAGTTATCATCAAGACTTGCCAAGCTGAGGCAAAGCTGATCAGTGCCATCTACATCAAAGTTTGACTGAAGGCCAGGATTTCTTGTTTCAACATGATTCTTTTTTCTTGTCATAGTACTTCATCTTATTTTTTGGCATCAAAATTCTATAGATCCATTAAGCTTGTAATGTCAAGGGTGGATCTAGGAGGAATGGGTGTTGAACTAGGGGGAGGGGGGAGTAGTTAGAGTTTGAAAATAACAAGGATATTGAATAACGTAACATCTAAAAAGGATGTTTATTTGACAACCACTCCCCTTGAAATTGTTCTGGATCCACCTTCAAATGTTTCCCATTTCTGACAAAGTGTCATTCCCTTGAGCATTGTTTCTTTGTTTACTGGTAGAACTAGAAAAWTTAATATTGATGTAACTCGGGCAAACATTCCTAAGAATCATGTCTAAGGGTATGACATGGTCTGAAATGGGGGGGGAGATACACCCAAGCTGAATAGCATAATAAATAACAGTGCGATGCATCTGACCAAGGGAGGCCACCCAACCTATTTTTCTACTAATGCCGTTAAATCCTTTCCTGCCAAGTGTTTCCATCAATAAGAAGACTTTTTACAAAAGTGTCCAGTGTTAGCCAGCAAAAGGACCAAAATAGGTTTGACCTAGGCAAATTCCTAGCCACTTATTTAAGTTTTTGTTGCAAAGATTTCAAAATGATTTTAATATCTGCRGTCACTCTAAGTGAGTTCATGTGTAAATGCACAAATGCTTGCTGTCTGATTGGCTAACTAGTAAAAAATAAGTTGGGTAGCAACAGCTAGGCGCATTGCACTGTAATAATTTATACAGTATCACCTACCTCTTGCATTATATAAACTATAAAATTAAGAAAATTAATATTTGTATCATGAAGGAAKGAGATGAACAGACAATGTCATATATAGATTCCATTGCTGACTTTTATGGTCTGTCGATGGGGTTTCAGATGGGTGACCCTTCTTGATTACCCCTCCCTACTAGAGTAGGGTAATGTAGGATAAAAGTCATACTTCTCGCACATATTACATCGATAGTAAAGGTACGTGGCATTCAAAGAGTCATAACAATAATAGAAGTGAAAAATCTGTTTTACTCTCTAGAAAACTTGAATTACTTGCATTATTTTATGTTGTGAAATTTTATTAATAATTTACTGTACATAAAAGCAACACTGAAAATCACTTACTCTATGATTAGTATTATGCAATAGGAATGTGGTCACTTACCTTTAATTAAGAATAAATTTAAGAGTTCATAATCTAACCCATTCCTATGTACACTGTTTTTTTAAAATAAAATTTATATTACGTACGATTAATCAGTTGTCCAATTTTGTTATGCTTGCATTGAATTTTTCTAATCAAACGTGTAATATAATAGAACGTGTAATGATTTCAAGGTAGTTGGATTATCCCAACCCAGGCCTGATCCTAACCGGAAGTTTTCTCGAAAAGCTCCCGGAAGTATTATCTTAAGGCCAGGTTACCCGGTCTGACATTGGTGTCCGTAACATGATCGGTAAGTAAAGCGTTGTTTGATTCAAGATGGCGGATCGTGATCGAAGAAATTGCAGCGCTCGTTCCCGTTCACGATCTACCTCTAGGGATAAAGAAAGAGCGAAGAGAAACGAGAGAGAGAAAGAAGAGCCGAAAAATGTGAAGACCATCGATAGAGAAAAGGTAAAAATGAAGCTGAACTTGCACAGACTTCGTCTTGATATTTGTCAAATCTTCCATGTGGCTACGGATACAAAACAAGTTTTCATGTTGTGCAACTCAGAAAACGAGTTCCAATTAAAGGAGGAAAGTTTTCTCACGTATTGGCTTCGTCCAACAATATTTCCAACGGTCTTAGTAGATTTTTAATCGATGGGAGTCAAAAAGATTAACTCAGACGTTTCTAAGTTGTTGGAGTCCTTTTATGATCCATGAATAGTGGTCGCAGATAAGCTTGTATAAAATCTCTCTGATATTTTAGTATCTATTTGCGGTTTCTTATTTGCAGACTTGTCCTCTTCTTCTTAGAGTATTTTGCAGTAAGGGTCGTCATCATAGGTAGGTCAACTCTTGTCTTGTGTATGCTTATTTATTAATGAAGGGATATGCCATTTTCATAAACATGTCAACTTGGTAGCTGCGAGGTGCACCCTGAAATCTGGTCTTTCGCTGCTGCCAGTCAAAAATATGAAAGGTACGGACTGATTGATTGACGGCAGCAAAAAAAACAAATTTCAGCGTGCAGCTACCRAGTTTGCATGTTTGTATGAAAATGGCAGTAAGCATATTTGATGAACTTACAGTTTAAATATGTAGCTGTTTTAGTACTGTTTTTGCTTTGGGTATTTTAGTATCATAATTTGTCAAATATTGATTTGAATCCAGTTYCTTTAATAGTTTTACCTAATATAATACATGTATCTTTACACATTGTTTCTGTTCGTCAGGCTTGATGAATATTCAAGAAACAGCCTTCCATCCAATGAATTACAGATATATACCTGGTAGGTTATGGTATGAATACAAGCTTTATCTTAAAGAAAGTGGCAAACGAGACAAGATTCTATCCTAAGCAAGTCACTTAGTGAAAGCATTTGAACATACCCTCCACAGATTCTCCCTACCTCTTAGAAATTCCAACCCCCCTCTGTGGGGAAGGTATGGCAATTTCCTGGAACTACACAATATTATTACCCTCCTCAGACCCTCCCCACCCCTTGTAAATTCCAATCCCCTCTGTGGGGGAGGTATGGATATTTTCTGGAACTACACAATACACCCTCCTTAGACCCTCCCCACCCGTTGGAAATTCCAACCCCCTCTGTGGAGWAGGTATGGAAATTTCCTAGAACTACCCAATATGCCATCCTCAGACCCTCCYCACCTCTTGTAAATGTGGGGGAGGTGTCTTGCAACTTGATATTCAGTTAGGGTTGTTATTCCTATAAAAGTTATGATTCTTGTYTTCACATATTCTGTTTAGCGTATCTATGAGTTGGATTTTACATTTAGATTTTCTCATCTCCAGGAAAGATGCTACCCTAAAAGAGCTGATGAACCTTGTTAAAGAAGTAAATCCAGATGGACGGCAGAAAGGAACAGTGTTCAGCTTCTCAACAGTCTTCCCAGATCAAAGACGTGGGGGATTCATAATGAAGGATATAGGATCAACCACGGCAGGAAGAAAGGGACAAGATGACAGCGTAACACTGGAATCGAAAAAGTTCCAAATAGGGGACTACATTGATGTAGCTATACAAGTACCTAGGATGGTACGAAGGGATAGGCCTTATTGATTTATTTAAATATCTTATTCATTCTTTGGGGGGAAGGGGAGGTGTGCTGCACTTTTTTCAAAATAAAACAAAAAAGTTCAAAATAACAATTGATTATTACAGGAATCAAAATAATAATCTGGTCATCAATAAATAAAGTTGGCTCAAAATTGGCACTAATACAGCCAAATGCCTTGATCAGTCAGATGTGGCCAAGCATCCTGTCTAGCCATTGAGTAGCCATTACAGGTTTGCCGCTTCCATCTAACATTCTTGGATTGAGACCCAGATTTTTGACATTAGGTTTTTTATCAAAACATGGACATTTCTCTAATGCCATATGAATACATTGTATGTCCATGTATTGTGTCTTGATACAAAGTAAYGCACCCACCCCTTCCTCGCCCTTCGTTGTTCAAAAACTTTTATCCTCTCTACCTGTTTCTCATAATTTTTAGTCATCCTAGAAGCCCTTTTTAGACTTGAAAAAAATAACATATATTCGTAGTAAAACTCCTTTTTTAGTTCCTCCAGTTTTTCCATTTTTTGTAGCTATTGTTGATTGAGTTGTTAAGTAACCTCACATCCATAGATATTTATAATAAAAAACACATTTTTAATGGTWTCTTTTCATAAAGCTTTTTATTTTCTATATGGTAGAATGCAAGATTGAGTGTGTTAAAGTGCAAACACTTATCTGTGAAACAGGACGTACTYGGTCTGTGAATAAGTGCTAGATATTATAGTATAGTTTATACCATATATCCGTGAATAACGCTTTAAGAAATTGCCAGATTAGTAAGTTCAGTAGAACGTAGACCTACAAAAGTTTGGACTAATTTGGATAATTTTGTTAGTTAACTTTTTCAGGGATATTTGGTATGCATTCTACTGTTTCACACCGAGATAAAGTGTTTACACTCTATGAGAGTCCCAAACACATGTAACAAAACACGAAATGGTCTATAGTACATGTATCTTCATGTAAGATTCTTTTACACGTTAATAGTGATATCTCAATGAAAGCGGCCTTTAGAGCGAGGTGTTGCTCTGACTTGAGTTTTGGAAGCAAGTTTTCCTTTTCCAATTGCACTAGGCTTGGGAGACTGTGATCTGGAAATAACTGGGCCTGGTATAGAGATTTCTGGATTGACTTTCTTGCTGTAGAGTTTAGCTGAGAATAATTGCAGAGGGAATGAAAAATAGAAAGAATTTAAAARTTATTTTGAGAATGAATGCAAGAAGGAAGAAAGGAGGTTATGGATGGATAAAAGATTAGATAAATCATGAATGAATATGGATAAAAGAATGATAGAAGGGGAGGGGGGAGGAGAATTATTAATTTAATCAACRCTGATGTTTGATAAACAAAAAATGTAATTCAACCAAATACGATAAAATCGGAATGAATTATAATTTACCTAAAAAGTCTGGAATGGACTCCGACACTCCCCTTAGTAATGGCGTATAAACTGACTGCTTTTGCTTTGAGGTGTTGTCCTCGGCTTCAAATAATGCAAATCAATTTAAAAAATGAAYAATTTACTACTTTTTGGAAGAAGATAACAGAATAAAAAGGTCTCAAATTAAATTAAAATCTACGTACTGATTTGAAGAAGTATAAAAGTGCTACGATTTGGTAAAAACGTTGTAGCATATTCGTTTGGTGGGCGTCCAGGAAGATTTTTTAGGAAACCATTTTCATCTGCCAAATCGATAACATCTAACGGGAAAGATAACAAAAAAGTACTGAAATGCATTATGATAAATAATAAAACTCAAAAAAGAATAGAAAAATCAATAGYTATTGTATTATTGAGCAAATGTTGAGTTGTACTAAGCTTAACTAAAATCACGTACCTTCGCTTTGACAGTTACATCGTTCCTTGATGTTTTCGTACAAGATTTTTGCCCGACAGTTTGTGTTAAATAGACGTTGTTCGTCATCTAAAATAGATGACGAATTGAAAGATTAATGTTTATAAATTCTAACCAAAAAGTTTTTTCAAAGCAGGAAAAACTGTTCATGAGCAACGATTGAAACTGAACAACGAAAACAGTTTGATAAACTAAATATTAAGAGAAGTTAAGCTTGTTTTAGTTAAAGATGCTGTCAAAAAGAGCAAAAATACRCCTTACCTCCAAAACGAACAACCACAAACATGGCAAAATTAAAGGATTTTGTTTGTGWGACTTCAAATCTTTAAAATGTAAGCCGCAAAATATAACAATAATTAACGTTTATTGTGGGTTGGAAAACTCGCCCAAATCTTTTACAAAAACTGGTGAAAGCAAGTGACGTCATACTTCAGAAAAGCAGTCGGCGACATGAACCGGAAGTGTAAATTATTTTTCTCTTTGGGGTTCTGTTCATTGAAGATTTCATTCAAAACATTGTTAGTAAAGTCAACTCATCAACAGGGAAGACAGACTTTGAAGGCGCGAAACCCCAAAGTGAAGTTATTTGCACTTCCAGTAGACGTCGCCGTCGCCGTCGCAGATTTTGCAAAACTTAAAAGTCCCTACTAATTAGCTAARAGAAGACCTAAAAGAACTAAGTTTAAAAATATTAAATAAAGTTTTGTAAGAAGGTTTTTCAAAGCGATATAAAGGCCCATTTTTCAGGTCGATTTTATTAATTTTGTGAATTATRTTATTTTTTACGTTGTTTTTTTGGTTTTGTAAATGTTTTTGAGTCTGTAGTTTCCAGTCTCTTTTAATGTAACACGGCCATCRTCGTCAACAATCGTGGTGCCATGGCAACCCCATCCTTCAGTTCACAGTTGCAAAGGAGCAAGCAAGAAATGCCAGAAGAATGACTTCAAAATATCGCTAAAAACAAGCCTTCACGATGTCTAACAAAGAAAAAACAATAACAGTAGATTATTTTAACTTAGATCCGTTCAATGAAGACAAGGTAAGTCCTTTTTCAAGCCTAATTCTCTCACAAATTCGCATGTTTTTCATGAGTTTTGCTCTCCACATTAATTTTCAACTTTGGCGAACATTTGTCTAGTCTAAAATTTCCCTCTATAAGCATAAATACCGTCGTTTTTAATATTTCTAGAACCAAAAGTCAATCCTTTACGGATCTTTTCTTCTTCGTTGCCTCTTTGAAGTCGAGGTTTTGCGATTTGCGTTAAAAACTTAAGTGTTTTTATAGCATACCCTATCAGATCWAGAATATTCACAATGCTTATTTTCCACAAACTTTGGACGAAACCACACATCAATTATGAATAATACAGCTAAACTTAGACTCCACTAGCCTCCAAATGAGTACTACTAGTATTTTTAATATCTGCAAAACTACATGAGCTTTTAAAAAGCAGAATTTATTTAGTAATTTTTGGTTTTAACATCTTTAGGCCGAACGAAAATACCTGAACTCCAAGCCAACATGTTTTATAATGATTGGAAAACCGGTAAGTCATATGAGTTCAATATTTTTATAAAGTGTGCACATGCTGAGAATAATAACTAATGTTTATTATATGTAAATATTCAGGGATCAGGGAAAACTACCTTGGCTCGGAAGCTAGCTCAAGCTTGGAAATGTGAATTTGTGAATGGTAAGTTACCATTGGGATGGGATGGAGATTGAGTGAAAAACAACTAGAACAAGATTCTAAATGGTTGAAATGGGAAATGAGATTTGCGCTGGGATAATAGAATGCAATATCTTGCATCTAGAGAGATAATAATGATGACAATGGAATAAAAAATTAGAAATGGGATTTAGGTATTTACTAGGTAACTGGAAAAGGGTAATAGGATCAGAAAAGTGGAAATTCATGTTTGAAACTAGGATGTTGTTAACATTTTGGCTTGTAATAGGAATAATCTTCTATAATAGTCTGTATCCAAAGTCAAAAGAACAAWATTGTACAATAATGCAATTAGTATAGGTAATCATATGGTTTAGAGTGCAATTGGAATTAATTTGCAAAGTGGGTTTTTCAAAGAGCTTCAAAAGAACACTAGCCTGATAGGTTGAGTGCTATTTGAGCTCTTTGAAAAACACAGCAGTTAAAATCAATTCCAAATTGAACGAGACACCATATGATTACTCATTATTAAATAATATACCTGAAAAATTTACAAATAATTTTTAATTTTCACTTCAGTGCACTTTAATTTTTGCTTTACTATTGGTTAACAACACTGCTCTCAGCCAATCACAATCAAAAGTGTTTTTCATGTATATTATTGGTATAGGAAATTGCATGATCTCAAGTACAATTTGAAATACATGAGGTACGAGTGATGCTTTGAAAGTTTTCAAAATTGAACTTCAAAACATCACAAGTATCTATAAATTCCACAATGACGAGAAGATCTTGTGATTTTTAGATTATGATACACTCAACAAAATTGAGCAACTTAATTGGGACTCTACAGAGTACAATTTGGGATTGAATTTCTACTCCTCTTGTCCAATCAGAATCAAGTAATTTTGTAGAGTGTATTATAAGTGCTGTAAAAGGATTTTAGCTGTATAGAATAGGAGCTTAGGAAATTGGACTATAATAACAATATATATTTTTTCACAGGCAATGAAGTTATCAACATGGCAATTGAAATGCAGACAGAATTGGGAATCAAGGTACTTAAAATATTCATTAATTGTTATGATAGTATAATCATAATTACATTCTATTTCATTTGGTGGGGAAACGACAGTATGGTGGTATATATATTACTACCAAAAAATACAGAACAACAATACAAAAAAATAACAAAGCTGAAAAAATAAGGCAAGTTTGTAGCTGCACTGTTTCTTACAGTAGCCATAACTATGTGTTGTGATGGGATGAATTACTCCTGATATAATGAAAAGTGGCATAAAGTCTAGACCTATATGTAGGAGTATATTCCATTCCTTTTTCTATCCCTTGTAATCTCAATAAATCAACCCCCCTTTTTGCAATATTTATGCAATATTTACAATGTTCAAATTTTAATATTTAAAATGTTCTTTGAAGGCACAAGAAATCCTTCTGCGAGGTGAAGCCATTCCTGAAGAACTGTCAGCAAAGATGTTGCTTGAGAAAATCAATTCCCCAGAGGTTGCTCATCATGGTAAGAATTACACTCCATTTACATTGTCTCGGCCTCCTCCCTTAAAGTTTGAAATTTGACCCTAGAGCTTGCAGCACCAAGTGGTTGATTTCCTGTTTGCAAAGATATACAAGGGTTGCACCCCCCCCCCCCCCCCCCCCCCCCCCCCCCCCCCATCCCGCTCGTGGCTTTTTTGAATTTATGCTGGTAATTTTTTTTTGTGAAAATAAAAATGTAAAATGTATACAGTAATGCCTTTTTGGGGGTTTGGCATTTCAGGRCCTCAAACAATATGGCTCTTTTTTGTTTGGAATTTGGCCTCCCTCTATAACGCATTGCCCCTYGGATACTATGTGTGCATAGTATATATATGACAGTCAATATTTTTGTTAGCTAGTTGTGTAGGTGTTGCTGACAATGYAGTCATGATCAGGGGTCATTAACTTGTTAATTTATTAATTTTCAGGCTATATACTTGATGGTTTTCCATCGYTAAGTGAGGACTGGTTGTCCTTGGCAGATCAACTAGAATTGGTGAAAAACCTTCCAATGCCTCCTGACTTCATCATTAATATCAAGGTAAAACATAATTTCCAGCGGCCTAAGTTTTTATTTTGAATTGACAGAAGTCCACAACCCAGTCCAGACATGTGGGGCTGTCTTGGTCATGTCACCATAAAAATGAATGTAAATGGATTTAAGTAGCCCTTGAATTTAATTTTACATTGATCATGCATTCATGAATATTCTGTCTCTCAAGTTCATTAAATTTGAGTAAATGAGTTTGTAATCAATAAGCACCCTTGCAGGGTGGGTGTACAGGGAAAGGAAATGGAATTACGCCACAGCCATATTAAGAAGTGGTAATTAATTGCGAGCTGCATATATGTATTTAGAACATTGCATAGATGCGTGATGTTATAGTGAATGAAAAGCCTTCTTTCAACAGATCCCTGATAAAGACCTTGCWGTGAGGAGACAAGAACAGAAGCTTGACCCCCTAACTGGCATGTTGTATGCAAGATGGGAATATGCACCTGAACCATTGAAAACTACAGACACAGAAAATAGTGGTGAAGAGGATGAAGGGATGGAAGAAGAGGAGGAAGAAGATGAGGAGGAAGAGGAAGAAATCTTGGAGGAAGTTGAAGATTATCCGGTAAGTAGTTCTAGAGTGGTTTGAATGACCTATGACTATATATCCTGTTAGCACAGTGCTGTRTTTTTGTCATAATATTTAAAGAGAGCTGTTTTTGCTTCTGGTTCTCTTTTACAAAAATGAGCTAAATGATGATATAAATGAGCTACCATTTCCCACTTATTTCCCATTCATTTYCCATTTCATTCTTCTTCCCACTACAGGAAGATGAAGAGAAGGAAGAACCTTCTCCAGAGCTGATTGACAGGCTTGTCACAAGACCAGAAGATCTGCCACAGAATGTCACAGCAAGCATTAAACACTACAAGGACATGGTTCTTAGAACATTTGAAGTAAGTGTATACCCGTACTTTAAAATATATTAAAATATTTACTGGTCAGAAATATTCTTCTTTTTCCCCCTCGTCTGTCTTCCTTCCCTCCCTTCCTTCTATGCTGTCTGTCTTTTGCCTGTCTGTCTGTCTGTCTGTCTGTCTGTCTGTCTGTCTGTCTGTCTGTCTGTTTCCATTTATTCACTAAATGAATTTTTCATCCAAAGGACTACATGGCTGATCATGACCAACAAAAGCTAATTGAACTTGATGGAAATGAGAACCAAAGAGTATTGTTTAAGGTAGAAAATATAGATGTTAAAAACTGAGTATTTCGATGAAGATTATGATGATAATGATAAGATATTGATGATGGTGATACTGATGAAAGAGATGATGGTGGTGGTTGTACTAGTAATGATGATGATGATGATGATGATGATGATGCAGATTAATGCTGTCTAATGATGTCAGGGAAATGATGATAGTAATAATTTGGTGATGATGATGAGGATAATATTGATGATAATACTGAAGATGATGGTTCTGGCATAGTAACGATAATGGTGATGAAGATTAATTTATGTTTAATGATGTCAACGAAACTTTGATGATGATATTTTAAAGATGATGATAAGATGGAGATATGATGCTGTCARTGTAGCATAGACGATGATGCTGATGGCACCACTATTTACACCTTCATTTTTCCATACTCCACAGCATCTCATGATGAAACTCAACACATTCGTGCTCAACCGTGCGCTKGTCCCGCTACGCCTTCAAGGCTCAGAAGACTCAGAAGAGATATCTGACGACACAGATAATGATGACTTGTTAAGAACTCTAGCTGCTACAGAAATGGTGGCACCAAAGTTCCGATGGCGCCGCAGCAAGTGGGGAAGAAACTGCCCTGTTGCGTTGAAAGAGGGAAACATCGTACCGGGCACCGTTCAATACTCTGTCAGGTACAATCACACTTTTAAAAATTTAAGAATTATATAAAAATAAAAGGAAAACAATTGCAAAAATTATTAAGATGATCAAAGAAAGATGACGGCTGAGGTGAATGTGAGCAAAAAGTCGGAGGGCAAAGCTGGGCGTAGTATGGACCTTTTAAAACTCTTAAGTCATTTCTCTTGCAGCTTTCTTGACAAGCTGTATATCATGTCAACAAGTAAGTYCCTTGGTCAGTTCATGCGGAATCCACGACCGTTCCTAGCGCCAAACCTACCACGCCCTCCATGCAAGGTGTGCGTACTTGGTCCTCCATACTCAGGCAAGACAGAGGTGGCACGAAGAATCGCTGAACGATACAAAGCAAAGGTAAAGTTGAGAGTTTTAGAATAGATGTTGTATGACTATGAAGCAGCTTAGCACACGACACCATCACGTTATAGTTTAGTTTTCGCATGACTGTGAAAAGCTCAGTGCTGTGAGCGTGCCGAGCCGTGCCGTGACCGTGATGTTTCATAACATTTTAATTGGCAGATTGGCTTTTTCTCGCGCATTGTGATTGGTCTGATGCGCAATGTGMTTGGTCTGATTGTGCCGTGACCTTGCKTGACCRTGTCCGCGTCGTGTTTATGCCGTGTTATAGGTATTTGATTGGATGGARAGTAAATTTTCGTTCAATGTGATTGGTCTGGCKTATCCCTWKCCGTGTCACGACCGTGTTTGTGCCGTGAACTTTTCACAGTCATACGAAAACTACTCTACTAGATTGGCGACATAGAGAGATAAGATTCCCGTTTTTCCTCCACGCAAACGGCAAACATGACCAGTTTTCATGGGCGTTTCCCTGCATTTCATCACTTTAYCTTTTGCAAACCTTCTCGCCAGATCCTAATATACTTTTGTTTATTTACTACTTGGGGATTTTTGCAATTCCATTTTACTTATTTAAAATAATTTTTCACTGGTTAAYTGACGTTTTACTTTTGCCATAAATAAGATTTTCAAGCTCTCTATTGCGACCTGGGCCCGGTTGTACGAAGCCTGGATAGCGCTATCCGACGGATAAATCTTATCCAGTGGATAAATTTATYGTATAACAACATCGACTTATCCACTGGATAAGGATTTATCCGCCGGATARCGCTATCCAGGCTTCGTACAACCGGGCCCTGTAGGGTAGCTTTGAGTCGGAGGTACTTTGGATACGAAAAATGAGACATCAAACGAACAATGAAAAAAATCCAAGCGGTAAAGGATGGGGGACGGGGGCGCTTCCGCATCACTTAAAGTTGGACGTGATTCATTTTTGGTCTAAATTGGGTAAAGATATCTTTAGTTCACCATGCTTAATATGGTATTGTACCAAAAATAAAAATGAAATCATGACTCGTTGTTCCGTATTCCTAACCGTTATTGTTTCCTGCAGGTATTAGACATAGATGAGTTAGTGAAGCCACGAAAAGAAGCAGCCAAAAAAAAGATGATGGATGAGACAAAAGCAGAAGCCATCCAGTCAGCCATTGGTAAAGTAACAGCTGCTAGACAGGCACTCAAGGCGGGGCTGGGCGACGAAGAGGAGGAACGTAAGTATCAATGACTGAACAGGAAGAAAGCCCCATCTTATCTCGTCCAAAGCTGGAAACAATTTAATCAAAGGCTGACGCACCTGTAAAGCTGTTTGTATGGGATCCCACAGTTCACTGAGGACTCTTGAAAGACAATGTTACTACCGACCAATGACAATCGATAGTTTGTCAGTCTGTAGAATAACCACTATTGAATCACGCTTCTTTGATGGATGACMAAAAAATCTACAAGTAAAATTTCGGTTTAAAAGTTTTTTCTTAAAGAAAAGATTCTAACATAGAGCAGATTACATATGACTGTAAAAGAGGTAAGAACTTGCCTTACCGTAACGGTGCCGGTGCTATGTCCAAGCATTCTGATTGGACAAACAATAATCGCGCGCCCTGTGGCTGGTTTAAGGGCATCGTCAAGTTGTGACGATGACTGTAGCACATGAATTCTCCTAAATATTTTATTGTTAGTACAACTTGTATTTGTTTGTTTTCCAAAGCATTAGATAAAACGGGTGAAGAAGACGAAGATGAGGATGAGGATGAAAAGGAAGGAGAAAAAGATGAGGAGGATACAAAAGAAGGCGAGGAGGAAGGTAACGAATATTATTGATTACAATATATGATGTCAGCGAGCAAGAAAGTAACAATTTGTGGTAAAAATTGCAACTCTTTTACTAAACAAACCCTCTATTGCCCCATCTTATTGTATACAGATGTCACTAAATCTTTTCTTTGTTTATTTTGTTGTAAAAGGCGAGACAGATGAAGGTAAAGAAACCGAAGAACCAGAAGAGCCTACCGAGAAACCAAGAAGAAAATCCAAAGATGAACTTCCAATAGATGCCAATCACCCTGACGTCATTAGAATTGTCAATGACGTCATGGCCGAGGCGGAGAAGAAGGAGCCTGAGCTGACCCCAGAAGAGTATGTCGAGGTGCTTGATGAGGCTATACAGAAGAGATCCGAGGAGCTGATAGCTGAGGACCCAAATGGAGCAAGGTACGTGGGGCCTCATCTGTCTTCTGTTATATTTTATAAATAAAAAATAAATGAATAAGGAATCACTAACCCAGTTTCCATGCATTTGTTCTCTCGCTAGTGCTGGTAGTTACGTGCTGGATAATTTTCCTCGAACGCGCGAGCACTTCTCTGCTATGGTCGAACGTAATATTCTCCCAGATGAGGTGATTCTGCTGAARGATGACAGTGAGAATGGAGAACTCCTAATGAAAAGATGGTACGCCAGCAACAAGGAAGGTAGGTCATTAYATATCAACATATTGTTATCTCGCTAGGTGAGCTCTCTAGTTCTTGGAGGGAAGAAAGAAACAAATTGATTGTCGAATAAATAATATTTTAAAAAAAACAACAAGAAATAAATGAATAAAAATGAATGAATAATCGATTATCCCTGTAGTAGACCATTATTCATTATTCAACTTTTTGTAACTTTAATTTTTTTWAATTAATCTTATTCACCGAATCGAATAATGGCGACAATTGGAATAACTATTCTGCACTGACTAGCTACTGACACGTGTTCACGTGGCAATATAAATGTGTTTCCACATGTACAAGAGACTAGTCAATCCAGAACAATAGTCATTTAAATTGGTCTCAATATTTCGATTCGGTTTATACGGGGCCCTGATAGAGATAATGGTTAAATGCGCATTTTGGGCGACAAAATCTGATTCAAACAAGAATGACGTACGTCAAATGCAGTATTTTACGTTATTTCTGTATACTGACAAACTTTTTACCTTTAATACCATTGATAGATAACGATATAAATGATCTTGTGTTTCGTTTCTAGAACTCCATGCAAAGTGGGAAGAAAGACGAGCGGCTGAGCRCGCGAAAAAAGAAGCCGAGCGACTCGAAAAAGAGCGCATTCGCAAAGAAGAAGAGGCGAAAAAAGCTGCCGAGGAGGCGAGACGAACAGCAGAGGCTGAAGCCATCATAGCTGAAGCCAAACAACTAAGAGAACAAGATGACGATGACGCGACTGGTGCAGCTGACGGAAGCGAAGACAAAGCTCCCGAAGAACAGAAACCTGACGAAGTCGAGGAGCAAGATGAATCCTCGGAGAATGCCTCCCCTGATATTAAAGGATCAACCCCACGCCCCTCAGAAGGAGACCCAGAGGGAGACGGAGAGGAGGAGCTACAGCTTGATAAAGACATCCCACCTGAGACTCCTGAGACGGAAGAGTATAGACGTCAGAGGACGAACTTTGATCGAGACAGTTCTCAGCTTTTATCGGTCATTAAGGGGACCAATGTTATTGAACCGATAAACGTATCAGCAGAGAAGAACCTTGATGTTATTGCTGCTGAAGTTACCAAGAAGATTGAAGGTGGGACTTAGTACTTGTTGAAAAGTATTGACACTATAAAAGATTATATTCAAATGATTCAATTTAAGGGGATAAAAGGACAAAAGATGTGGTCGCCATGTTGGATGACATTACAGTACTCTTTAGCTATAATCCACCTATTGTTGGCGTGCATCACTTCTCATGAGAACAAAAGGACAATAGRCATGGCAGCCATGTTGGATGACATTACATTACATCTTTAGCTATAATCCACCTATTGTTGGCGTGCGTCACTTCCCATGAGAACAAAAGGACAATAGACATGGCAGCCATGTTGGATGACATTACATTACATCTTTAGCTATAATCCCCCTATTGTTGGCGTGCATCACTTCTCATGAGAACAAAAGGACAATAGACATGGCCGCCATGTTGGATGACATTACATTACATATTTAACTATAATCCACCTATTGTTGGCGAGCATCACTTGCCATGAGAACRAAAGGACAAAAAACAAGGCCGCCATGTTGAATGACATTACATTACATATTTAGCTATAATTCACCTATTGTTGGCGTGCGTCACTTCCCATGAGAACAAAAGGACAAAAGACGTGGCCGTCATGTTGGATGACCCTACATTACATCTTAAGCTATAGTCCACCTATTGTTGGCGAGCATCACTTGCCATGAGAACAAAARGACAAAAAACATGGCCGCCATGTTGGTTGACATGACAAAAGACACCAAGACCAAATCTTTTGTCAAAGTCAATATAAATGGCGGCTATGACGTCACAGGCGCACTAGCGGAATTACCGTGTACCGTGACCTTGCCGTGTCTCAAGACTCCCATTGTAATCATAATTGCATGGACATAATAATAAAACAGTTATCAATATATAATATTACTTGATAATGATGACAAGATGTCATCGAAACGTGTAATTTTTTGACACAGTTTTTTCTTATAAATTCTATTTCTTGTAAGTATCAATATATCATACTTAAAAATACCACTTTGTTTTAGCCCCGTTCAACTACCGTGGCTGGGAATACACAGGAATGGATCAAGACGAAGAAGAAGAAGACGCAGACGAGGACGAAGATGATGACGACGAAGATGGAGATCCGTTCAACCGCGAAAGAAAGAAAATCTTTGGGGATACCAAGATGTACTGTCCAGTGATGCTGAAGGAAAGGAAAGTCCTCTGGCCGGGTACTATTGAGTGCGCAGCTAAGTACAGGGAGAGGACGTACTTCTTCTCCGCGGTTGAAGCCAGGACAAAATTCCTTGAAGATCCAGAAAGCTTTCTTAGTGCTGATGTTCCGGTCGAGGTAAGACTGGTATTAAGTACTTTAGGTTTCCTGTGGTTCTACTTATACCACAGGGGACCCATGCTTATACTTCTTACATCTATAATTTTTAAATTAAGCTTCTTCCTGGGATGGATTTTCTGTGGCCTTGATCTTTTTTTTTCGTTGTTGCCTTCCCTCCCCCCACAATTCTCGGGCTGGGCACTGAAAGGTGCGTCAGCACATTGAAATTGTTTATACCTAATAAGGGAACCTACGCTTTTGTGTGATTGGTCCCCCTCCCTAGAACTGATTTCTTATACCACAGGAAACCCGCATTTTCAAAATCTTCATATACTATATTGATCCTCTAGAACTTTTGGTTTGTATTAGCCAATAGTTATGTTTTGAAGAAGCCTCCCTTTCGACTAATCATTCTACCCACGCCCTTCCTAAAACTGATGTCTTATGCCACAGGAAACCCGCGTTATCAAAATCTCCCCATACTATATTGACCCTAAATTATAATCATTCGTTTTTCGTGGGTTTTGTTCTGCAGAAGCCTCCCATCCGTCTAATCATTCTAGGACCTAAAGGAGCTGGTAAGACCATGCATGGACGGTATCTTGCACAGAAACTAGGCCTCTTCCACATTTCATTCACTGAACGCCTACAAGAACTGATCATCGCGAAAACCAAGAAGAAGATTGGACCTGACTATGACGATGAGGAAGAGGGACCAACAGATCCTGAGAGCACGGCAGATGGTGAGAGAAATAACATGAATCACCACATATCAATTATTTGTAGCAAAAAGAGGTTGATGGAGATGAAGCAAACGTCTACATATGCCCTAACACTCAAATGGATTGTCATTGTATCTTTTCGATTCATCAAATTACAGCGCGAACATACTATTATAGAAAAATAGGCTACGGCGCTGCTACGAAAAATAGAGCCCTCGAGGCCTTACTGTAGCACTCATCGATGTTGTAATAGCCCCCTTCACCGTTCCTTGCGCCATCTTGAAAGGCAGCCGTGCCTTTGCATCCGAAGCTAGAAGAACGGTGAGCTTGCAATGATAGACCTTTTTTAACACCTTGAACAATTATGTCTCTATCATTGCAAGCTCACCTTTCGTCTCCCTTCGATGCAAAGGTACGGCTACCCTTCAAGATAGCGCAGGGAACTGTGAAAGGGACTATTATAAAATAAAATTCAGCCGCGTGACATCCAATAAAACCGCATGACATCCATTAAAACCGCGTGACATCCAATAAAACCGCGTGACATCCCATGCACAAACTAATAGCACTTCAAGAACCAGTTGTATCTTTTCGCCATTCAACCTAAATTAATCTGCTCTATTGAATGTAATTCTTCAGACGCAACAGCAACAAAAACTGGTGATAGCGTACCTGAAGGAGCGAGAGAAGAAGGGTACAATGAAGAACCAGAAGTAGAATTTACTGAAGATGAAGAAAACATCAAAGCCAACCTGACGGATGGTGACCCACTACCAAACGAGACACTAGATAAGATATTACCAGAATGGTGGAATGAGGAACCTTTCAGGTAAAAACACATCCCTATCTTATGGATCTGTTGATGGTTTTCAACCATTCCCAAGAGAATTAAATAACAAAAGACACGGCAGCCATGTTGGAGGATATAACAAAAGAATTCATTGACAATTCTTTTGTAAGTTCCTCTAACATGGCCGCCGTAAAAACCATCAATAGTGCAGCGCGCTGATTCTAAAAATAGCTTAAAGATTCGGACAAGCATTGCATTCTGTTTAACCGCTACGAGGATTATACGAACCGATTTTATTAATTTTACTTAAAGTTACAATAATAACCCATGTAAACTAAGATCAAATGCGATCGGCTGTAAAAATTGTTTGTCCGAATTTCGCCTTTGTCTTCGTTTTTATGACGTCACGGCTGCGCTGCGCTATTGAACTTGGACGTAATGTTTTCCACACAGACCACGTGTCATTCCCTAGAGTATCATTTCTTTGTTGAACGGTTGTGTGAAAACACATCCCTGTCTAATGGACATATTGAACTTGGACATAATCGGTCGGATAGTGCTATTCACCCTTCGTACAACCGGGCCCTAGTATCAAACTTTATCATCTAATTCTGCAAAGAACGTGCGTGATATGGAAAAAGGACATGCCTGATATGAGACCGTATCAGCACTTCTCATCTGCTCATGCTGGGTACGATAAGGTTCAAAGAGAGTTTGAGCATTTCTTTGCAGAATTAAATGATAAGTAACTTATCAGTAGACTAAGCATCTGATACGGCTTTGGCTTTTTACTTTTTACCTAACGTCTCGCCAAAATACTCCGTGACTCGTAAAAATACACAGCTGTATCAGATACTTAAACGACTGATAACCTCTATGTATCCAGCATTGTGAAAAATGATCATATGGCTCGTCCACACACAGGTAGCCAAATCCAAGCTAGTGGGCTAACTAGTTGTAACTGCACTTTTTTTCCAAACAGATCTACAGGATTCATACTTGAAGGTTTCCCGAGGAATGAGTTAGAAGCCCGYTATTTAGCAAATTCAGGCTACTTCCCAGACGCAGCCATCTTGCTAGCTGTGGAGGACACTGAGATTGTCAATAGATTGATACCCCCTAAGCTAGAGATATGGAAGAGAAAAAGAGACAAGCGACAAGCTGAGAAGGAACGACGGAAAGCTTTGGCAAGAAAACAGAAGGTAGA